CGGGTGCGCGGCCCTCCGGGATCTGCGCCTCTGGATAAGTAACCCGACCCCCGGGACTCCTTGCCAAACGTGACTTTCCATTCCCTGCTGAGAACTCCATTTAAAAGCAAGGTTATGGGTCACAGGCACTCATTCAAGGAAGGCTTTGCGGATTTTAAAAGACCCACTGCAGTTCTCCTGATGCTGTTAGAATCCTCCAATCCTGAGATTCTAGCGCCTGAAAGGGCATCTTAAACTTAAGTGAAAGAAAGCTTAACCTGATTTGCTGGTTCAACTGACCAGGGTAATTAAGAGGCTAATCAACAGTGCTTATAGAAGCGTATCAGATGTTGTAGGAGGCTGCTGTCTTTTCTTTTAGCAGCTTTCCTGCAAACTGGGTTGCTCTTTCAATAAAAAGGGAGAAAATGCTAAAAGCTGGAGAAAGTGCCCAGTAAGCTGGTTAAATATAGGCTAATAGTAGAGAATGTCACTAGACTTGACAGGACAGAAAAAGCAAGATGATGTGTACTGTATTCTTAGTGGTTTGACCCAGCAGAACTTAGCACATAAACTACATCTTAACCTTTGCATTAGGAGACATTTGTGCTAACTCAAGAAGCAGTTCAGGTACTCTTGAAACGTCTGACTTCTCCTGGCTCTTGCTTGTAGCTACAGTTCCACTCTTCCTTGGTGGTGCTGGAGGGGTGGTAGTAGAGAATTTAAATGGCCAATGTGACAGCTTACTGGCGGTACAAAGGTTGGGGCAACTAATCAATTTGAATCAGCCGGCCAGGGAATCCCTGTTTGGGGAAATGCTTAGAAAAACTACCTTAGAGCTGTTATTGTTATAGTCCGTCCTTTAAATTACATGTAGTTATCTTAGAAGAAGTAAGTTGCAAACCATACAATATATCTTCAGCATCTCTCACTTTCCTCCATAACACTTACCTCTATTACCCTAAGTTTTATTCTCAAGTCACTGGTCTTTCCCAATGGCGTTAGCTCACTGAGGACAGGGACTTTTCTTTTGTTCCTTGCTGGGCCCCTCACACCTAGTGGCTTAGTAAATGAGTTGAATGACTCCCTGCCCGTGTGCCATTCCGCCACAGCACATTGGCATTGGAGGCCTGGCCCCTTTCCCTTCCCCTGTTAGCCCATAGTTATGCATCTCTAAATTTGGAGAGCACCGGAAACAGCTTGAAGACCACTTCCTGCTGTCAGCTTTTACTTGTATTAGCTGGGAGTTGCTGGAAGATGATGACTTAGTCTTGCCTTCAGCTCCTAGTCTGACAGAGGAAGGGTAAAATGTGTCTTCATCTCATTTCATGTTTGAGCCGCCTGTGAAGACGCACACAGTAGTGTTTTGAACACTTCACCGGCCTTCACACGGATCTATAAAGGCAGCGACTCCGGCTGGCTAGGAAGGACCTCCCATGGTCCATGTCCGTCACTTTCCAGGGAGGAAGGTGGGGGCCAATATACATGAATCCGTCAATTATTATTATTATTTTTTGTACCAGCGATCAAGCTAAATCCCTGGCCTGCATCAATATTTTTCTTCAGTGACTGATAAATCATTTTAAATGTATTTGACCATTGAAGTGGTACAATTTTCTTGCGATTCTGTAATGTTACCAATTTCAGGCCTGTTTTAAAGGAGTTTGACCTCTTTATTATTACCTAGAAACAAACTGCTTAATAATTCTTAATACCAATAATGGGGACCTTTACAGTGTATCTGTTTTGTTCCAATGGCCTTTTAGAAACAAAATAAATTTGTATGTTCTGGACCTGGTGTATTTTTTTCCTTTTGAAGTCTAAACATTTAGATAGGATCCATAGGTAAATTCAGTATTTAAAGGTTTGGTGAGCCCTGGTGTTTTATAAAAATCTGGGATGCCAGGTGTAGTGGTGCCTGAGGCAGGAAGATTGCTGCGAGTTGGAGGCCAGCCTAGGCTACATAGTGAGTTCAAAGCCAGCCTGAACTACAAAGCAAGACCCTGTCTCAAATTAAATAAATAAATGAATAAATAAAGTCTGGGTTTTCTGAATGTCCGTAGTTAGCCCAGGTGTAGTAACTGTCACAAGAAGCCCAAAGTTGCATAGTTAGAACCTTTGTATATTATATTGCTTCCTGTGTACTCAGCAAGGGGAGCCGATCCAACTTGGTCACACTAGCATTAAAGCAGCTCATTTGTTCTAAGCTGACTAATTGCTCTAATCTTTTACAGTGCTTTTCTTGGTATAGCCTTCCTTTTTATTCCTAACAGCCGTGGTTGGCAGTGATACCATATTAGAAAGACTTTAGTGTGAAAGGAAAAAGCTAGAAACTTTGCTTCCCTAATGAAACTCTCATGAATAAGCTCAGAGGCATCTGATAGTTTGGGCGGTGTACAGTGTGTGCCCCGCAGCCTCGGTACTGATGCTCCCTGAGGGCAGGAGGGGCCTCGGGGCTCTGGTGATCTCTCCCTCTGCTTCTCCATAGGTGGGATGCTCCTTTCTCAGCATTCCTTTTCAGTTTTTCCTCATTCCCATCTTTTCCTTTGGGTTGTTCGCCGGGGCCCTTTAAGAATGGCAGGGCTGAACTGACAGATGAGGACCTGAAACCTTCCCTTTCTCAGCCACCCTGAGTCCTGGGAAAGGCTCCTGGGGACATCCAGGAAATTTCCTTTTCTTGGGAATGTTGCAGAGTCCTGTGCTTTGTGCCTCAGGCTCTTCTGATGCGGGCCCAGTCCTGTGGCTGAGGTGTGGAGTTCCGACCCCTTCTCTTGGGAACTGTGGCCCTTGGGGAGTGATGTATATAAAAGAGAATTTGAAGCCGAGTCTCCCTGTGCTTCTGTAGTGATGCTGTAGTGACTCTGCGTGTTCCTGGTCCTGTGTTCACTTCTGAGCATTCAGGCTTTTCTAGGCACCTAAGGCAACATTAGTTTCTTTAGTTTTCAGGCTTAGACCGTAAAGAAGGGGCCCCAGGATTTTTGGATCTTGTGATGGGTTGGCTAACAATGTTAGTGGGGTGTTTGTTTTTCCTTTTTTCTTTTTTGAGAGGAAACTGGTGTGCAGTAGTGGTGGAATGAGACACCGGGCCTCAGAGTCAGCCCAGTGGCAGTGAACTGTAGCACGTGTTATTTGTTTTTATTTTAAAACAAAAGATGTTAATGTATAAGTTGTTTATTCTAAACTAAAACCTCAGTATTTGGCTTTAATTGCAGTGCTGTGCTTTGCAGTGAATAAGTGGGCCTTGGGCTGCATTTTGGGTGCTCGTCTCTAAGGGTTCACCATCCTGGTCTAAACTGTCTCGAACTCTTCTCTGTGAAGGGAGGTCGGTTGTGCCCCACGAAGAGCAAATTTCCTTTAAGTGTCGCTCTCTGCTAATTTTGTTTTGCTTCATGTGCATGTGTTGTTGGGAGTCCTTTCTGGTTTTATGGCTTTGTTGTCTCATTTACATTTTCATCATCCACTGATGTTGAAACGTTCCCCTTCCCCTGTCGGCTCTTCTGCTGTGTAAGTCTGCTCCCATAGCATGTTGTTGTAACAAGCACTTATTTCGTGCTGCTGATCTGGGTATGTTCCAGGGCCTAATTATGATGATACAGTTTTGTCATTTAGATCTAAAGTTTGGCGCATAAAGCATTAAGATGTGCTCGGGAGTGGAATCATTATGTACTACAAAATGTTTTGAAAAGGAAAATAATGGACTCAGATGCTGCTGCTGAACTACTGAGGAGGCTAACATCGCTGTCAAGGTCCACGTTTCACAGTAACGAGGAAATGGCCTTGTCCGTCCTATGGATATCTGAAATTTGTCATGTAGCCTAATGTCACGGTGGCACTAAAGTCCTTTGGTATTGTCTCCTGTGCTCGGAGCATGCTGTCGGTCCCTGATTCTCTCTTCTTGATTAACTTGATTGAAGAACTGAGCAGCCTCTTACCAGGATTTTTGCTTCCTGTCAGCAGAGAACCCACTGGCAGTAGCGTGCAGTGTGTCCCTGGTGGTGAGGAAAGTCTGCTGGGATGCAGAGGATTTTAGTAGTGTTCGCCTGTTTTGCTTTCCTCATACTTTCAGTCTTTTATTGCTTTCGCCTGTGATTTGAGTCTGTAGTTTTTCATATCTGTTGTGGCCCGAGTCCTTGCCGTAGGCACTCCTAATAGCAGTTGTAGCGGGCTGAGTTTCTTAGTGTTCAGGGAGTCGGTAGAAGCTCCAGGTCCTGAGTCCCTCACTGAATCCCATGCATTCTTAAATCAAGTTGACTGTACCCATCTTTTGTCAAACTCAGGTGGAGGGGAAATAGCTTGAGCCTGATATCTTTTAATGAATATAA